AAAATTTAATTGTACTAAGGATTAAAGTTTGCGTTATTAGGGGCGTGGCCTCTTTAACTGAAAGGTGTATGACACAGGTGGCTGCTGCTGGCTGAAATTTTAGGATTTTAATTTAGATGTTACTGAACACTAATTAGCATGGATCTGTATGATGCTAGCATACAGTCTATGGATGCAGCTTGATAACCAAGCCGGCCAGCATCAGCTGATAATAACACTCCACTCTGTCATCCAGATGTGGTCACCTCTGGCTCTGAAAACCCACCATGGTGTCAGTTGCTCTAGTTGAGGCTTCAGAGTTGGATGCTGCAAATGAGTGTACATAATCAGGGTGGCTACATCCATCGTTTCTACACCCTCTGTGGCTGTGGTTACAAGATACTGTAGTTCTGAAAAGTCTTTATTATGTCAGATTCCTGTCATGGCAGAAACAACATAGCTTTGTGTGATTTAACATTTACCGCTACCTTTGTCATCCGAAGGTGAAAGCTGCCTGTTAAAAGAGTAAAACCTAAAGTGTAGTGGGTGTCCACACTTACATCGACTTATTATTGACATTGTATGTTTTTGTTGGCTGTGTCACAGTGAATCATGTCATGTGTGGGCACAGTCCTATGTACTCTCATTCCAATACTGTAAAACAGTAAGACATTAACTCGGGTTCTTTTTATTTATGTTATTGTGACATCTTATTTATATCCATTATAACAAAGTAAAGTGACTGCCCTCTGTTGTGCAATGACAAATCAGATAATCAGATGATTATCTATTGTTGTCTTTGGTCTATTTCTCTTTGCAAATGACCAGGATATAAGTCTGCTAAATTTTAAGGAAATGTTTTATTTTCGACTACCTGTGTTACTGTTGGTCTCCCACTATTGATGCATGGACTAACATAACACTAACAACAGGATAGACCCCGAGTTCTAAAAATCTGGTAATAAAACACTTATTTGAAGGTAATTTAGGGTAATTTTACATAGATTTGGCAGCTAGACAGTAAAATCAGAATTGACATTTCATTAATTAACTATGACTGAATGATTTTAGGCGTGTTGTTTAAAATCTCTACTAAAGTCCTTTGAAGAGATCATCATTCTGCAGCGGGCAGAAAAGCTTATTGATCCACTGCAATTTGCATACAGGCCTTGTAGTGGCATTCAAGATCACGTTATTAAATTCCCTGTATCATAATACTATCCAGCCACATCTTTAGCTGATAAGCTTCTTAACCCATTTAAACTTGATTTTAATCTTCTCAGATCTCAGTGTGTGAGAGTCAACGGCTGTTTTCAGCTGAATTCTTCTACTGGTTCACCACAGGGATGTTGTCTCTCTCCCATATTATATATTTTGTACACTAATGAGTGTCGCAGTACACAGGCTAACAGGCATTTCACTGGTGTGATCAGTCATTTTTAAAGATTAACACCCTGAAAACTAAGGACCCCATCCTGGATCCCCCCCTCCCCCCATCGTGCACTATCAGTAGTAAATGGTGCAAACATTGAACTGGTGGATAGTTCTAAGTATTTGTGGGTAGTTCTCAATAAGGCTCTGTGCTTTGAGCCACATTTTACTGCTACAGTGAAAAAGGGCCAACAACGACTGTACTTTTTAAGGAGATTGATAAAACTTGGGCTGTTCTTTTTTTATATAATACAATGTATGTCTTGAATATGAGATTGTTTGCTAGAGTGCACTAGGAGTCTGGCTGCAGCATTTCGTATCATTTTTTCGTACTGCAGTTTATCATGAGTGAACTAAGTGGAGCTGGGACTGTCTGTTATCTCTCCTGAATTATAAGTGAACTTGCTGTTGATTTCTTCCCTGATAAACTTAACTGTCTTCTTCAGAAGAACTGCTGTTGGCATGCTCACTACTCTGTAATAAGGTATATTTTTATTACATTGCAGAATGACTGGCCTTTATTGCTTTGCATGCCATTACTTAGACTTTCAATTCTTTTTAGAGTCATAATAACAATTTTGAGATGCTGATTGGAGAAAAGATAAAATATGCCGTCAGGCTGACTAAAGTTATCCAGTGTTTTTGTTCAGTGCAAGATGGCAAAATCTGCATTTCCTTAAATCTGCTGTTATTAATCATTTTAACATTGATTAAAAAAAACTGTTTGCCTCTGTATTTTTGCACATTAGCACAAAACAAATGTTGATGTTACACTCATTATAATACCTTCTTACACCAATGGAAAAATACAAAATGATTATCATAATTAATATTCCTGTTGACATTGTTGTGATTTATGCTTTACGTTGCAATTCAAGTTGATTTTTCAAGCAAAGATGCCAGCTAGACCACTTAGAATTCCTCTCAGTGACTTAATAATCTTGATTAACTGTGGAAGTGAACACTTAACATCACTTTGTTTGGTGAGTGTGACAGTCGCACAAACCTCACAGCAGAAATAAACATATTTAAAGCCCACTACAAAAAGCAGCTTTGGTCGCTCCATTCATAACATCTTTATGGGGAGAAGTTATTATGTATGTTTGTATGCTCCCTATCTCCTCCTAGACAATCGTAATGAAGCTTTGCGACATTGTCAGTGCCAGCGTCTGTTTGGCATATACAAATATTTTGTACAATTCCTACTACTATATATGTATTTGCACATTTGAAGGTTCAACTTAGCCCTGAATAGTGACCTCATGACTGACTTCACCTCACATTTGCTGACAATTAGTATTTGTTGCTGTGTTCATTTAGTTAGTGCATATTCTGCATTTATTATGCTGCTGATTGTTGATCAAGCTGTTGAAAGAAGCCACCATAAAATGCTTAAAGTCTAGAAAACAGGGAACCACAGCAGAAAACAACGACGCTGGTATAAGAGGACAAGGTTTGGGTGAGCATCATCATGTCACAACGTAACTCTTTGGATATTAAATCTTCTATATCAATGTATCATGATGTTACAACATGTATCTATATTATTTTAATACATTCTTCATTTTACATATTTATATTGTTCAACATATGACATCTAACAGATTTGTTACAGTCTTACAATCAGTATTGCTCTAGTAAATCTCCCAGGATACTGAACTTATGAAATTCTGTGTAAAACATCATCTACTCGTGGCCTCAAGTTCAAGATAGCTCTTTACCTGTCACCATTATCACCACACACACACACACACACACACACACACACACACACACACACACACACACACACACACACACACACACACTGCTGATAGTCTCTATCAGAGCTAAGATAGGAACGTTGTTGAAGGCAAAATGATCTGAGAAGGACAAAGGTCCAAGTATGGACGCACAAACACACACACAGCAGATAGCAGGATACTGTGCTCTGTTTGCCTAGTGTTCCTCTCTGCCCTTTGGACACCACACCTCAACTGCTGGATCAGTTAGCAAATACGTGTGTGTGTGTGTGTGCACGCAACTATGTTGGCTTTGAGACCCGAGTTTACCACTTGACCCTGAAAGATGGTTATTAAACTACAATGATAACCTAAAGCACAAAGGGATTTGGATGGAGTGGGTGCACTCTGACCATTGTGTGGACGTCCTTCTGAACCGAAAAGTATACCTCATCCAGTTTTCCTTTCCACAGTAATAAGAATGCAAAAGCTGGATACCAAAACTAAAGCTGTACATTGTGGAAGAACGAAGCCCCGGTGTCCAGGTTGGTTGTGAACATCAACACATGGAAGATTTTCAATAATGTCGCCTCACCAACATTCATCCAAAGTCTGCAAGGACGATGTTTACTCATCAGCTCTAATTATTATTTAATGTTGTGATAAATTGTTTTAAATGCTGCTTATCCGAGTCAGCTTCCTTTATTTTTGTTGGTGCTCAACCTGCAATTTAAATCCTTTTAAACTGAAGGAAATCAAACATGTTGGAGGTTCTTTTAACATACTCAAGACCTCCCAGTTTCTGTTTTATAGGGGGAGCCTGTAATTTGATTTTGTTCTCTAGTTTGGATCTTGGTACTGGACAATACAATTACACAAACTTTCCTTAGAGTCAAGGAACCTAAAATACTTAAAAGCTAGATTTCACAACATGAGGAATTCCTCAGGGCTCCGTCATTGGGCCTGCTTTATTTAATACGCACACTTAGATTGGGTGGGATTTAGGTCAGAAAGAGGCTCTATGCAGGTGAAAAATATTATTTTATAAAAATATTATAAAAATAATATTTTTCTTGTGGTATTTTTCATATTCACATCTGTTGTAGTTGCAGGTGCCATCGAGAGAGGGTGTCCCGTTGTAAATATTTAATATTGATTAACTGAACTGAAAGACCCGAATAAATCTAGAAGCACCCTGCAGTCTTTTTCGGTACAGCCTTACTGTAATACATGTTTGTTTGATTGTTGCCTTCAAACACTTCTACACATTCAGGAGTTAAGCAACCAAACTTAGCACACAGGTAGATCTTCAGCCCCTGAAGGTTGTTATTCATATCAGATATTACATAATCATCGCATTGCATAGTAACAACCTACGAATGAGCTAAGAAGACCCACGTGTGCATTTCAAAACTTCTAACACCTATGAAGAGCATTACATGATTTTATTTTCATAATATTGATGTCTTATGACCACATCACAGCAACCTAACAACAAACTAAAACCACAGGCGAAACACTGCTGTAGCGTGGATGTGTACCAGTGAGGTTTAAAAGAAGTGAAATTACTTTCTTGTGATCAGCTGCAGCCCATCATGTTACACCCAGTTATTTATCAGTGGTGTTGACTGCACAAGACTTTTGCTCTTTGACTTCAGCTTTAAAGCAGCCCTTCCTCCCAGTCAACATCCAGGAAAAAAACGACAGCAGTTCTGCCAAGAAGCACTGCCTCGAGGACAAACTCCACTGTAACACTCGGGCGTTCTGTTTAGTCTGGAAAATACATTTCTTTAACATTATGCTGCTTTTCTAATTATGTGAATGAAAAAAAGAGATCATCAACCTCTTATGATAAAGCTTTTCCTTTTTAATAAAAATTACATTTGAAAATATACATGTGATAAAGTCTGACAGGTGAGATCATAAACATTTACAAGACATTCACTGTATGTAGAGCAGAACAACAAAAAAGATTTGACTGATTTTACTCACTCATACCACTGCTTCACTCATCCATGTGCCACTAAATAGGTTTACAAGCACTAAAGTAACCAGATTAGTGAAAGTAGTCCCATCTGGGCCTTATTCTGGAGGGATGTAGCTTCCTGTTCTGATATCATGTTAGTATTTTGTCTGTTGAAGTCGACCGAAAAACAGCTTTTTCTCACAGTGTCTCAGTTTAATAGTCTAAAGTCAAGTAAAATCCTTGCAACTTCTGAAATGTGAGGACTTAAAAGTTTTTGTTTTTGTCACGTATCATTCTAAAGTGAACAATTTCATTAAAAAAGAGAAAAATAACCCACTCAGTGCTGGAAACCAGCTCCAGGTGCTGCAGTGACCAGGAAAATCAGGTTTAACTACCATACACAGAAACCAGGATTGCTACTTTCACAGCTTTATCCATTACAATCAGCATTACTGTAACCTGGCTGACTAAATCTCTGTCACCTGAAGAAGATCCTGAGTGAACTGAAGACACTGGGCCTTTAATATGCTAACAGGTGATCTGCTGGACCCGTTTCACATTACAAACATGTTGCTTTAACCCTTTGGGCCACCAGCCAGTAAAACAACAAGAAAAGCAATCAGTTCATGCTTCTGTTTGCTTCCAGAGACTTTGGGGTACAAGTTTAAAGTGGACCCATTTCATCTGCAGTGGTAGATGTTCATGTTAAACATGGACACCGTCAGCAGGCTACCAATCAGAAGAAAGTGTGCTTTAAAGTTGGAGGGCACTGCACCAAGGCCAATCGGGAATCATTGTTATGAGCCCTTAATGAAGAAAAGCTCTAACAGAGCTCGAGAATAAAACATGGAGCTGGAAATGAACATAATCCACTTTAACGAGACAAAACACACCCAACCAAAAAACAAACAAATTACAGGATCTATTTAGAACATTGGGTGGCGTCACTTCAGTGACTTTCTTATATCTTAAAAAGAAAAACACACTTAATTTAGTAAAGAGTAAGGAATCCAAGGCTTCAGTGAAACAACAGTGCAAAGACCCTGAAGAGACTTATGAATGCTAGATTTGTTTTGAGTAGTAAAACATGAGCTGATCACATGATGCAAAAAAAGTGAATCAGGGTCAGTTTGATGACATCTGAGCTGATGTGAGGCTAAGAACCAAACCCCATGAAACAAAGGTTTCTGTTGAAGTGGGCACCAATGCCTACGGAAGTCTCATTTAACCTTCTCATGTACAAAGCTCAAGTCTTAAATAAAGACAAAACTTTCCTGGTTGAAAAATCAGTTCAAAATATAAAAAAATATTTGATTTTTTTAAGAAGCACGTGGACATAGAAATGTCTCAGGACGAGTTATTCCACTAACATGTTAAAAATAAACATCCAAAAATCCAGAATCTGCTCTCAAAATCAGAATTTCATCCTGTGTGTCACATCTAAATCTCCTGAAATATTGATGGATGGCAAATTTAAATAAATGGTTACTTCTTGGTATAACTGACTGAATATGAAACTCTGCAAGACTACAAGTGTCTCAGAATTTGGAGTCCAAAGTAAACACATTTGATTCTACTCAAGCAGCTTGTAAAAACTTTTCTATAACTACTTAATTTCCAGCTTTAAATTAATTGAACAGGCTGAAAGTAGATGGTCCCTAAAAATCACCATGAAGAAAGCTGCAGAAAGACATGCAAACACTTAAGCTAATAGTTTTCTACAGTTGTCCACGTTGAGTTCTACATGTTGTGAGTCGTGAACTTCCCTGAGCTCAATATCTGGACTTTGTCCACTGTGTTTGAAAATTCCCAATTTCCAGCTTCAATTAAATGCAGCATTAAACTGGGTGACACTAAAAATGGACTCAAACTAAAGGAGCACTTCCTTTTAAGCAATCATGGTGCCATATTCATGCATTCAAAAACATAGTTTTTGAAAAAAGATAGTTTTTGAATTCACAAGCCGAGTTCAGCAGCAGCTCTGGCTCGAGGGTTTTAAGCTCACACAAAAAAGTTGTCATATTTAAATTAGCACGAAATCCGAGACAGTTTTATGATCAGTAACATCGGGGCTGTCGCTGTGAGGAACACCAGCTGTTTCCACACCTTGTTAGTTCATGCTACACTCATAACATTTATAGTTTAGTGTTTGGATCAAATAAGAAGATTTCACTCTAACAACATTGAAACAATATTAAATTGAAAACAAACTTCTACAAACTTAATATAATTTGAAAATACCCTCTTTAAAGTATATTTAGTGTTAAAAAACGACTGTTTTCCACACTGACGGTACAGTTTGTATCCTGTATCTTCCTGCTGCAGCTCTTCATAGAGCTAAATGAAATATTTAAAACACTACACTCACGAATATTTCACAAAAAGAAAGAAAGAAAAAGGAGAGAGACTATTCTGTGTGAGAAGACAATGCACACAAAGTCAGCATTATATTTAGTACCTCTGTTATTTTACTCGGGCTTTTGTTTAAAGAGTTTGAAAAAACTTGTTTTATAAATATCAATTTGCAGTGATGAGCTCAACAGCATCTGTCACAGGTGAAAAATGTGTTTTTCCCCAAATACAGAGCTCCACCCACCACAAAGTTAGTCTTGGACATCGAATGGTTGTCCTTTAATGACTGACCAATCCTTCGACAGATGGAAATCACCTGCAGAGATTCCTTTTTGTTCAGATCCAATCACAACAGGGAATTATTTGATGGACTGGAAGTTGTTAGCAAAATGTCTCATTGAGATTTCTCTGATTTTCAGTGAACTTTAGCTTTAAGAAGGCAAACAGCAATGTGCAGGATGAATGTCTCAGTCTGTAGTTCAGGATTTTTAGTCCACATCCCGAAGTCAGTGTCCAATAAAACATCGTCCTCAGTACTCCTCTTTGATGTTCAGAGCTAGAGAAGGAGACACCAGCCCGTTGCTCCCACTGCTACTTGTCACCATCGCGACGTTGCTGCTCCCGTTTGCATGGAGGCCATTGCCTCCACCTCCTCCGCCGCTGCCGTTACTGCCGGTGGGAGGGGTTGGCGTAGTGGTTGAGGAAGCCGGCTGTTGGAGTTTCTTCTTGTTGATCTTGCGCTCCTTTGCTCGCCGGTTCTGAAACCAAATCTTTACCTGGGATAGAAAAAAGGTCGGACATTGTTTACAGATTAACATGAATTATTCAAACACTTCCAACTACTGCACGTTTTTTTCAGTAACATATTATTGTTTCTGCACGATCAGTAAGAATTTGAACTAATTTGAGATCTAACTTATAATTAGTGACAGCAGTCTGAGCTCTGAAACCTAAGATTACGTTTGGGAAAAAACAAACAGTTCTTCAGTCTTTGTTCTCTGATTGCAGACACTCTACGAGCATCGCAATTGAGGACTTTAACAGTGTTAAAGGCTTCGTTCTTTTTGCTTAACCCTGGAGAACCCATGGGGTCAAATTTGACCCCATGGGTTCTCCAGGGTTAAAGGAACTCGTCTAACGTCTAAGCTACAGGAGATGCCAGAATTAAAAAAAACAAAACACCCCCCACCCAAAAAAACCTGCCCAATGGTCAGAAGCCTCTCTGAGTGTCTCTACATCCATACTGCTTTTGAAAACTGCAGTTTTTTCCTTTTTAAATTGGATCCAGTCTGACTAATTAATCACCGAATGTATGCAGATGATACAGTCGGTTTTGTGTATATCAGTTCTGAACAATAAGCATTATTTACAGGCTAAAGATCCAGATGTGACACCTTACTTGTGTTTGCCTTAGTGTCAAGAAATGAAGAAGTGCATTAATAAATCCCCTCCTACCCAGTATCCTCCCAGTGCCGAGATAAATGCGAGGGTTTATTGACTTCACCTTTAAGTTGTGCAGTTAAAACAAAGGAGAATCTCAATTGTTTTCTTCATACTTGACAAAATCTATATTTTGACATAATGTCAGTGCAAAAAATCATCGTGTTAGTTTAAAAGGACAATCAAATATTTCAGTGGTCTTTCTCAGTAACAGGACAAAACATTTAGCTTTTGTGTACCTGTCTCTCTGACAGACTGAGTGCCGTGGCAAGCTCCGCCTTCCTTCTGATGGTGATGTATTTGCTGTAGTGAAACTCCTTCTCGAGCTCGAGCCGCTGGTGGTCGGTGTAAACCACTCGGTATTTGTCTTTAGTTCGTGTCTTTCCATCTGTAAAACAGAAACAAAACATTTTTTAAAACTTTTTATATGAAAAGCTGAAGTCTCTTCTGCAGGATGCGCCCCCTGCAGGTAATCACTGCAAAGTTAAAGGGGGCTCACGTCAGTTTAACTTTTCTCGCTGCATCACTCAGCTCATGCTGGATTTGTGCAATGTCAGCTGAATTTCTGAAGCAGTTTTAGCAGAAAGATGAATAATTTAGCTACAATTAGCCAAGCTACAACATATATTTACTTGTCAAGTAATCACATTACAACTACTCCAAGTCCCATAAAAGCATATTACTCTGTTAGAGGCTATTCCTCTACATAAGCAGTGTGCACTGAAGTCATAATTTATATGGCTTCAGTGCACACAGGACATCTCACACCTCCATGTTTAATCATCTGCTTCAGCTACACAAAAATCACACCATCTATTAGTGTGTAAAAGTGTGAATGAAGCGTATGTAGTGGAAGCATTTTATATTATGTGCTATAAACCTGTGAGACAAACTGCTGTAACCCTGATGGAGCTGCGTGTTCTTACCATGACTCCTGCATTCAAATTGACTCCCCGCCTCGGCTGCATTTGCATAAAACAGAGCCCTATCTGCTTTTATTCCTTTATGGTCCCGGAGTTCGTGTGTTACTGTGAACGCTGAAAATGAAACGAGCTGTTCAAACATTCAGTTAAATATTAAACTTTGAAAATTGGTTGTATACTACACTGTTCCCCCACCTTAACTCAGGTGCCTACATTACCCACAATGCAAGTGGACTCCCAAAACACCCAAGAGCTTAAAGAGTGCTTTTAACCAATAAGTCAATGGATCCCATGAATAACTCACACAGTTAGCTTATTTATTTGCAAACACTTCATATTATGCAATGCATTATTTATGTTATTATTTTCAAAAAAGAAAAAGAAAAAACCCCTGAAATGATTCACTCTTATGTAAAAAGATTACACAACACAATAGTTGTTGATGTGTCTCAGAATCAGGACAAAAAGATCAAAGGTTTGAGTTTTGTATGTCGACCTCGAACACCTCGTGACACCTGCTGTGAGAAAAGCACAGTGAAATGTAATCAGTCGTGTTTAGGCAGTAAAGCCTGGTTCCTTTTAGTCAACACAAATATACTCTGTTACCTACATTTGTTACTTTGTTACTTTAACTGTCAAGAAATACATAAATCTTAAGGTCGTGCTGTCTGTTATGAAAAATGATGTATTCATATCTAGGAACTGTGGTGGAGGGGGAAAGAAAAACAAAGAAAAACAAATCAAACATTTTCATTGATGGATTTTGAGAGAATGGGCCCTGATGGAGGGTGAAAAACAAAAGCCCCCAAACCTCCTGAAGATTAAACCAGAGACTGAAAGTCATGCCAAAGACAGATTAGAATTTGTCTCTTTGCGATTTTCCATTTCTATGTGAATGTATGTGTGCACATAACAGCAAGACGGTTGTGTTAAAGTTAATTAAAAAGGCCTTCATGGCTCTTTAACACGCTCTGATTCAATATTAACACTAAACACACAACAGCTCAATAAGCAGCGTGCCACCCCCGTCTGTGCTCTAATCGCTCACCGGGGCGAATTAAAACTCAAACATTTTAGTTTGAGAGGGAACATCTGTCTGAACTTTAGAGTTTCTGCTTCATTTGTTGGAAAGTAAAAACCAACAGTTTGATTCTCCTTCAGCTGATAAAGAGCCGAGAGAGCGGAGACGCTAATGAAGGAGCGTAAATCAAAAAGACAGAGAGGTTTACTCACGGCACAGACTGAGCCAAAGATGGGCTTTCAGAGGCACCGACAGCTAAAACTGATGAGCAAATACAAGAAAAATAAGGACTTTTTGCTCATTTCCTAATTTCTGCTTTAACGAAACCTGGTTCTGATTCCATGTGTGCTTCTTGTGGATGTTAACTCACAGTTATGAGACGTTGTATCTACAACAGGGAAACTGATATGACTCTAAACAATATGGAAATGTTGGAAAAAGCAAACGAGTCCAGGTCTGTTTTTGAAGGACAATCCACACAAACACTAAACATTCACTCTAAACTTACAGCCAATAAGAGAAAAGTACTGCATTTTATTTTACAGCTTCTATTGCAGAGTTACAGCTGATTACCAGGAGTAAATGTGCAGCTCTTTACTGTATTCTTACATCTTATTATTAACAGTAAATTCCTGCAAATGATGACCTCATCGTTAAATGCTCTAATGCGTGTTTTCCCATGCAGCAGTTTACTATAAAACTACAGCTGAATACAGCTCAGATTTCACTCCAAACACCCGTCGAGACTCCGTGGATGTAAACCACTATTTTATTGTCATAAAAGTCAACATGCATACAGAAGAGTCTTGCGTTTAAGCGCCGCACGCAGCCGTAAAACATGAAAATACAAAGAGTACGGGAATAAAACAGCTCCCCAAGTCTCACCCAATAAAAACAGAAGCAGTAAATTATAATAATAAGAGTACAAAACTAAATATTCACATCCACAATAGAGTAGAAGATGAAATTAACTTAACCAGTACCTGAGGAAAGTAGTTCATATACTCAGAGAATGAAATGAGATCTAGTGGAGGAATGTAAGATTCACCTGACTGTTTGTTATCCCCTCTCTGTCACTGGCAGAGTCGAAGCGTGAGGTCATTTTTAGTGGTTTCTCCTGTATGTCATGTGCACCTCCAGTTTTGGGATGTTCTTACTGACAAAAATGTTGACTCTTGCAGGATGGCGGTTAATCAGATGTTAGTCTCACTGATGATTTTAGCTTTAAATACATCTGAAAACAGCATCATCTGCATCAAACTACTGTTCTTTGGGCTTTTTTTAGCTTTTGAAAAAAGCCCAAAGTTACTTGCCAACAGCTGCAACTCTCACTCGCCTAAATCTTTCTTTACCGACCTGCACAGCTGCAGACTTCCTGCGGTGGCGGCAGGTCGACAGAGGCCGACTGTTACCTTTGAGTTGGCTTCATGTTCAGAAACACCTGATAGTCCGGCTCTAGCTCCCCAAAGAAAGATGCTTTATCCTCTAACATTACTTATTTATTTCTCATTTATATGTAAAATGAAAAACACATATTTAAGTTAAAAGATAATAGAGACTATAATTATTAATTTTTTTTACCAGAATCTATCAAAATCAGAGAGCTGTGTTCAGGCTTTTCTTTGTGATGTCTCTAAACCTCTATATTAACAGGACCCTTTACGATAAAGAGTTTTTAAAAGGCTGCAAAACAATTATCCAATATAAAGTAATAAATGATGTTTAAAGTCTGTTGCAGTGCCACTTTTCATGTATATGAAATAGGGAATCGGGCTCCCTACAGAACGTTTTCTACACCAGATTCATGCATTTTTTATTAAACATTTTAATCACCTGTGGCCCCCGCCTCCCCCGTTCTGTGCCACCCTGCTGTAAAATTCCTGGATACACCCCTGCTTAAAATGGACGGTGGTTAACCTCTTACTGACCTCTCATCTCTGCAGGTTTCTAACAAATCCTTTTTCATGTCCATCACAAATGCAACTTCAGGTCATTTCAGGGAAATAAAGCTGAAGGTAGTTTTTAGCAGGTGTGTGAAACACAGGGTGTATCCCAAACACTCAGGCAGATCTTACTGACCCTGTATTATTTTATATTAGGAAGTAAGATTAAAAAAAGAAAAGGAAACTCCTCCCGTGCACCAGTCAATCCTGCTGTTCAGTTTGATTCACTGATTTTATTGCTTTTAATTATTATCACTAAAAAACGCATTATGAAGCAAGGCTGAAGTTATTTAACAATCATTTCTTTAGAGCTGATAAGATGTTTTGTGACATGTAAGAGCTGCAGAAACCGCGGAGCCTGAGCCAAATTCACACTTCCCACTTCAAAGTGGGAACTATCTTGTCGGCTCTTGTTTTCTCCGCCCAGGGACAAGCGGAGGACAAAGGCCGAGCTCAGCCTGCCCGGAGTCACGACCAGCGGGGCGCATTTACATTACAAGGCTTCAAACCGGCTTCACACGTTTGATCCGGAGACAGGCCGGGACCCGGTGGGAACGCTTCAGCCGTCATGTCCTGACAGCTGCACCAACTCATTCTGCAGGTTCAAACCTCCACGACGAATAAACATCGAGTACCAGTCAAAATCGGTGCAAAGAAGTGAAACGTGAAGAAAAGGTTTCAAAAATACTCTGAATGGGACGGATGGAAATATTGGGCAAGAAATTTAAAATAAAATAGCGGCAGGAAATCAAATTAAGCCGAACTGAGGTGAAGCTGCGTGACATGGTGATATATGGAGCTTTTAATCTGAAAGTCTGAAGGAAACCAAATCATTAAAATAATGACAGCGGTTTAAAATAAATACATAAATAGAGCGTCAGTGATGAGGTTCAAATTTAAATTAATTAAATTAAGTTCCAAAGTGACGACGATTACATCCAGATAATAAAATAAAAAACGATCTGGGAAATTATTCAGGAATAAATCTGCATAAGTAAAAGTGGAAAACAGAATTTAAGTAAATATAAAATTTAAGCCTTACAAACGTCAATTATGCGGATTAATAACGTTTAAATCATTTTTTACTGTGAGCACGAGTGGCTACATGCAGCTTATTTAGAATATGTATGAAAGGAAAATCATCTCGTCATAAGGAAAAGAAACCATTATCAGGATCATTGCTGCTGAACTTTAAAGAGTCAAAAGGAGGGGCTCGTTTGTCGTTAACCAAACTTCATCTCAGGCCGATCAATCGATTATAAGCGTGTTTCGTGCCGGGCGGCCGCTATCTCCAACCTGAGTACACATGTGCAGACATTTGAGTATCACTGCGTCTCATATCAGCCTCATATTAAAATGTCAAACAGACTGTTGGAGCTCGGTTTGCTTCAGGAATAAAATAAACCACAAGCAGCTGAAAAGTGACGAGTAAGCGGTTAAAGGCGAAACCATGAGCGGGTTAAAGGTAAAAACCTGGCTATTGTTGGGGTGTTCGTTAGCAGGTACATCAGCGGCATTAAGAGGGAACAGGTGTGGGGGTCTTACTGGGGTTGCTGGGCGGCGCGGAGGTGCGGATCCACTCGTACGGGGTCCTCCTCCGCGGGGAGCCGGGGGACAGTGGCCCCGCGGAGGCGTTCAGGGAGGCGGGGATCAGCGCAGGCGGCTGGCCGGGGAACTCCGTGGGCCCGAATCCGAGGGTGGTGCCCACCGCACCGGTCACGGAGGAGGCCGCGGGAGGCGCGTAGGGATGCGAGGACCAGTCGTCCCGCGCGGGCGGAGGAGGCGGGTATGCCGGGCTCCAGCCACCGGCCGCCGGCGGGGCTTGCTGGGCCGGGTGTTGCTCGTTGCCGATGCCGTGGTGGTGGTGGTGGTAGGAGGCGAAGTCCGGGTACTGCGGGGGGGCGGGCACCGAGAAGTTCTGCGGGCTGAGACTCAGGCCCGGGTGGCGCGTGACCGGGTTCTGGTGCGGGTACATGGCGGGGTCCTTGTCCAGCTGCAGGTAGCTCACGTACATCTTTCCAGGTGAGGGGACTCCCTCAGCATACTGCGGATCCAGCCTGCCTCTCTCACCTGGTCTGCAGGTAAACTTCAATCTCTGAGTGCGCGCGTGTCTACCTGTCCACACCTCCACCTGCTCGCGCGCTCTCTCTCTCTCTGTGCCGTCTCCATCAGCTGCCCGTTAAAAACTGCAGCAGTCACATGTTCACTTTTATTGCTCTTATCTCCCTCCCTCACCTCTCCTCACCACCCTTACACGCTGCCTCTCTTCCTCTCGCGCTCTTCTTCCTCTCTTCACTTCCACCCACTCCTGCTCTTCCTCCTCACATCATCCTCGTTATTTTAAAACTAAAACCTCTTTCTGAATTAAACCCTGATAAAAACTGAGACTCCACAGCAGGTTTTTCCCACACTCACCTCCGCCTCCTCCCGTCCCAGGCTCCTCTCTATCGGCCTCCATTTGCATGACAGTCCGCTGCTGGACTTCAAAGGCCTCCATCAAAGGGACGGAGACCATCCGACAAAATGATAGAAAACAGCTAATATGTCCTCAGAGAGACGGCAGACCGAGCCATCCATCATTTTTTAATCATCACACTTTCAATATGATCTTTTCTTCAGACACGTTTATTTAGCGAGCTTGAATTTCTTTTTCAAAAAGCTGAAATTTAAATGGAAGAAATCTTAAAATGTGAACTCGAACTGAGAAAAAAATCTGATATCAAAGTGTTTATAATTAAAATGCATGCAATTACAATCTAAACATATTAAATATCAAATAAATAAACTCATTAAAGGTTTAACAAACAAAAGACTTTGTAAATCATCAGGCTTTAAACGTTTTTGTAAAAATGATCCATTTCTTGATGAATTCTACATTTAAGGGGAAACTTTTTCTTCATGTGGACAAAACGTATAAAGATCATGAACGAAGCATTTCAATTTTGGATTCCTATTTTGTTTAATCCGTATGAAGAGAGTGTAAATAAAACATCATCTGTGTTCATCAAAGTATTTAAAGGGTTAAACTATTTATCTTGAGTAATCAGCTGATCTGTTAGGAGGTTAATATTGATCATGTTCCTCTGATGCCTGTCAGTGAGACACATTTCCCTCATTTTAGTCTCCAGATTTAATGATTTCTAATAAATGATTCAAATCTGAGTATTTCACAGGCAGATGAACAGAAGCAGCTTTTCGCTTTAGGTTAATAATTTTTTTCTCTGTCAAAGTTCATATAGTGTTTATTTGTGCAGCATCATTCAAATATAATAACTAAAATAAAACTGTGTTTAAAAAGAGGATAACTGGACGAAAAATAAAATAACTAATATTTACAGGTCAAACACATTTTTCCTTTGTTTTATTTATTTATTATTCTCAAATTTGTGTTTTTAGATGTTTTCATCTACCGTATATTTTAATGAATTACTCATATTAATATTATACCTTTGAACTTAAGAAATTATCTGTTGCAGTTCATGTAAAATATGAAATGAAATGTGGAAAAGATTAAAAAACTTTTTACTGTTTTTTAAAAACGTTACTTTTTACTTCAAAGTACAAATAAAGTTAAAATAAAATGAATCCCAATCTGTCAAATTTTGTAAGAAACCGTTTCATATTAAAATCAAGTATTTTTTCATTTTGTTTTTTCAATTTAGTTTAATTTAACATGGTTTTATAAATATAAATAATATAAAAGCAGATTAAATATATTTTACTCCATTTAATCTCAAACAGAGAATAAAAAAATAGAAACAAGAATCTTAAATGTATAAAAATAAAAAAAATGCAGCTGTGGAGGAAAACGGGGTCGATAAAGGACACATCCAGGACAAAGGAAGGAGGAAGGTCGAGTGGAGGTCAGCAGCAGCTTCGTCTCCTTCCTGATCTGAAAGTAAAAAGAGGGCTCGACCGTTTCACAGCACGCTGACAGAAGCTAATGCGAGGCTTCAGTGGGTTTAAATATCTTATAACATTAAAGTTTGGATGATTTGTGGAGCTGCAGTGTAGGAGAGGAGGAGAAACTCTTCGCTCATTTTACCCTGGAGACGGTGACGATGTTTGATCAAATAGATTTATATGTTTATTGAATTATTGTAGCCTGTATACAAAAGAAAGAGAGGGGCGTAGCCACGGTGACAGCACTCGCTGTCACATTTTGAGGCGTCAGCGTTGCTGTTTTCGATGCTGCCATGTTTGATTTTTGGAGTTAGAGGTTGAGCATATTTGGATGAGAGGGTGGACTGCGAGTGTATCCCTGCTAATATGAAAGCTACATCAAAGTGATCTACATTTTAACGAATCAGTCACTATGATAAAAAAAAACCATGTACGTCATTCTGCACGATGAGTATTTTTACTTTAGGTACTTAAGATCGATTTGGATGCTACAACTTTGAGTGAGAGTCTGAATAGTTACTTTGTCACTTTATAAAACAGTTATTTCATACAAAATGATGCTTAATTATTCCATAAAAATAAAATTATACTAAGAAAAACTTTTCTTTGGAATTATATTAGAATCTGTTGTTTTAAAAGAAATAACAATAAAATTAATGTAAGGCCATTATTAAAAATAGAAGTTGTCATGAAATGTAAGAAAAAAAAAAGAAGAGCTGCATGAACCCACAGACACTCTGAGAGATAAACGTAAACACTGTGTAGATACTTTTGTACTATTACGAGTTATTAGCATGTCCTGAATAATCCTCCCGAGTCTGAGAGTTATTTGCTTTACTTATTATAATCAACCTGACATGAAATGACAGCGTGAGTCCAAAAACTCGTCAGGCCTCTTTATTAGGTACACATTGCTGGTGCCGGTTTAGCCCCCCACCCCCCCTCCCAGGAGCTTCCTAAACTCTGCATGTTTCAGATTCAATAATTCCGAGAATTGGGCTGTGTTGATGTGATGGCGTCCCACGGTCGATGTGTTTTACCATCCACATGATCAGTTTTACTCTAAATTTTCATCATTTATGAATTCATGTTTTGATTGTTGGGAAGTCAAATATATATTTTAGAAACTTCTAAAATCTTCCGTGTCTTGTATTTAATATATTCCTTGAGAGGATTGCATGAACTCATTATGAAAGTGTAAAGACTCCAGGGATCATGTGACCAGGTGCATTTGACCCGGCAGGGACAATCAAAAGAAGCAGAGTGAGGGAAAAAACACAGTAAGAAAACACTGAGGCCATCCAGTGAGGGCATTACATGTAAAAAAAAATAAAAATAAAAAAGGAAGAAGAAGGAAAAGTCAGTTATTTATATCCATTATTAATGCTGATAATTGAACACCTCACCATGAGGCTCAGATCCCCGCTGTCCTGAACAGCAGCTCCACTTTTTTAGCAGCTGAACTGATCAGAGCGGCCTGATCAGCTGACAGGCCCCGTTTACACCAACACCTAGCACCAGCATACAGTCAGCTGTGAACAGAAATCTGATGTTTTCATCACAATTTTTATTATTTGAGCTACACATCTGTCTCTGTTTCTTATTCTTCATTGGGCTGAGAATCAGCGCCACCTGCTGTTTGTCTTGTGAACCAAATCCAGATGTTTACAGAACAGAAAACAGAATTCTGGATTAATTTTTAATATTATTTTGAGGATTTTCTGGAAACGTATGTAAAGGTGTGTGACATTTGAACGAAAACATACTTAGACATGTTTCATGTAAAAAGAAATCTATGTAAGCATCATGTGGGGTGCTAAAAAAGTACAAATGTGCTCTGAAAAGATTACTTTGAATGAAAAATACAACTAAAGTTAAACATTTTACTATTTTTTGTTATCATTTATGATCTCCAATGCTTTTCCTTTTCCAGAGAACTGCATTTGTCATTATTAACAATTTACATATAAATATGCTACTGATTTAAAATGTAAATATCTATTTAAGTATTAATCAGGAACTTTTATTACTCTTCAAACCTTTTAATTATTTAAATTTGATTTCAAACCTCTTTTAAACATTTTAAACAAATCTGCAAATAAACAGATTTTGGTCCCTGCCTTGCTCATCAGAACTGTGCAGCAGGGATTTAAACCAGCAACCCTGCAGCAGAAGCCGCCCTCCTCCCTGTCCTCCGATCGCCCCTCCGCTGCCCTCCTGAAGAGGAATTATCTGCGTCTTTATGGATTTATGGGAGATTTATTGTTTTACGCTGATGAGTATTTAGTTTAGTCTGCTGCAGTAAAAATCACATAAAAGCCACAATAATTCACACCAGCATTCATGTTTTCAAGTGTTTGATAGTTCTTATATCGATATCGTGTCATGTGAGGAGCTTCTGATTAAACTGCTTCTGTATTTAGAACATGAATATTTGTTTTCTCTCTCTCATATATATATATATATATATATATATATATACATATGTATGTATATATATATATATATATATATATGTATATGTATATGTATATATATATATATATATATATATATATATATATGTATATATATATATATATATATATGTGTGTGTATGTAAAATAGAAGGCAGACAAATCTCATTATCTAAATATAAACATTCCCTAATTTGTGATACTTATTATCGGGGCCTTTTCATGCTAAGATGCTGACAGTGAATGATGAACATAAACATAAAGCAAAGGTCAGTAAATCACCTGATTAATTAAATGGAATATGACATAAACACATTTACAGAACTTTGGGTAAAATTTTACTTTCTCGAAAAAAGAGGAATAATAAAAAATCTTATGAATTATTAGCATGTTGCACATTTTCAAACATTTCTGACGATGCTAATGTTTGTTGTAAAAGCAGCTACCAGCAATAAACACTGGTGTTTGTAATATTATAGCCAGTTTTATCAAATTAATTGAGGCAGTGTGTAGTAATGAATAAGATAAAAATATAGAACAGCAACAAACAACAATATTTTATATTTAATTGAATGTACCTAAAATAAGAAGAAACTGTGACCCTCAGCGCTTCATCCTGTGTCTATAATAGTTTTCCTTTCGTAGGTTGGTATTAATCTCCCACGTATGATTTCACTCCTATTGTACAGCTGTAAAACTGCAGACTAATCTCAGGACGGACAGGTTGGTTAATGACCTCTCACAGAATGAGCACATCCAGACTCGAAGGTGATCT